CCCAGATGTCCGATACCAATCTATAAAGTCCTCTTCAGACTCACAAAACACGTGCAACGACAACGAATGCAGGAAGATCACAGACCAGTGGGTGGGAAGTCTTGTGGATCCAGTGGGATATAAGCATCTCCGTGCGGGCAGGGGTCTCCAGGTGACTCCTCCGGCTGCAGAGCTCTGACTCCATCAGCCTCTCCCCATGTGTCTTCTCTACAGGGATGTCTTGCAGGGAGTAAGCATGTGTCTCGCCTCCAGATGAGGTCATCAAGCTGCAACCTGATTGACAGGCTAAACCACACCCCACTCACTCTTAAGCCTCAGTCTGACAACAGATTATGTAACTACCACACCATCCTTGCCTCCAAGGAGCGTTCTGGTGGTACTTTCTTTTTTTTTTTTGGTACTTTCTAAGATAGATTTGTTTTTCCAGCAGTCCATGGTACTGTCATTATTCTTCACCAGTACTGCAATTTGGGTGCATCTACATCTATTCGTCTCTTCAGTGTCCAATTTTCACACGAAGCGATTGAAGATACCATAGCGTTTAAGAAGGCTTGTTTGGCACATTTGCCGGGTGCAATGAGTTGTTTGATTTCTCAGCTGCTGCTTCCACGAGTATCGATCGCCAGATCTTTGACAACTTCCAATTTGTCTCCACTTATCATGATGTTGGTTGTCTGTTGGTTCCATTGTGAGGATTTTGGCTTTCTTTGCTGTGGGAAACCGAACAATGAGAAGAGAATGTATGCGGATACATTCTTTATTCTCGTATTTTAAGAAGCCTGGCAAGGCCAGGATTGTGGGATGGAGCGAGGCCTTCATACTTGTGAGTTAAAGATGAGTCCCAATCACTTTCTCATAATTAATATTGATCCCCACAGTATCCTCCTCCCATAATAGTGCTGCCTTCACATTACTTCTTACAAGCACATGACTGATTGCTATATAGCGGGCAGCTATAGCTATAGGAGCAGACATGCTGCAATTGTTCTTCCTGCTCAGGGGACAGTCACTCCCCGTTACCTGCCCCCAGCACTGGTGCTAGGTTACTCCTCCAATAAACTCAGGGACCTTTAGGGTTAGGGTACAACCAACTTTGTTATGTATGTGGTTACCTGTAATTAGGGGGACTTGCAGCCCCGAGAGACTATAAACTGTTGTTGGAAATATAATCTCTCTCTCTGCGTGGACCTGGCTCCTGAAATCATGGCTGAGGTGAGCCATTGCATGCTTTATCATGTCTGATGTCTCTTTAAATTACCCTTCAATTACACCACCGCCTCCTTGGCCCCATTAGGTTGTTGAGGCTGGTCTCCCACACTCTGTGTGAAGGTGTCAAAGCCTGCAGTCTTTGATCTTCATCAATAAGTGTTTCCAGACCTTCTTGCTTTCAGGGAGGGAGGCTGTATGATTTGCATAATTGCAGGTTGGTCTTGCCCTCCTATTTTAATGGGCTGGAGATCCTCAGAAGCACTCCTCAGAGAATTCCAAACTACTCATCCCCCGCCCCCAACAGCTTACCGCTCCTTGATTTCTCTTCTCCCTCTGTAGACCACTGTCTTCCATCACACTCAAGTTAACACCCATCAGTGCTCTGGCCCGTTCCTTTATCTTCACCCCCGTGCCCTCTTCTCCCTTGGCAATCTCCAAAGTCTGTTCCCTTTGGAACGAAAGTCTGTATTTTTCTATTTTTTAGCTTTATAAAGAGATATTTCTTGCCTCCTACTGCAAGTGGTAGGAAAGAGATGTAGGACTGGGTGGTAGGCAGTGGGTTTCTCTCTTGGAAAGGGGGTGGGGGAAGGTCTTTGTCACTTTGTAACATGGGGGGCAACTGTAGTCCTAGCAGATCTCCTTGTGTCTTGGCTTCCATGTTTCCTGGTTCCAATGAAAGGTTGACTTCAGTCAGACTGGTCATATCAGATGCATCCTCCGACCAATACCTCCAGTCTCCTTCTTAATCATAGCAGACATGACCTAATCCTTGTGAATCCCATTAAAACCACTCTAATTAGGAAACACTAGTCTTTCAACAATGGCATTGAGATCCAGAGGCAGAACAAATGGCAAAGAAGAGGGCATGGCATTAGTTGTCCATATGGATGCAGATTGCATCCCAAACATTGCAACAAGTCCTGTGAGCAAAGCTTACTGAGTGGGGCCTGTTAGGCTCCAGGGTCCGCCTCAGCTCCCCCATCACCTCTTCAAGAGTACCCCAGTGCAGAGTTCTGGGGTGGCCCACATATCAATGCAAAAGGACGGGAAGCTATAGAAAGGTCAACTTGCACCTTGGGACAATGTGAACCAGCAGGTCTTGTAGGACAGCCATGGAAACTGGGTTTCCCCAGAGCATCAAGGTTCTGAGCTGAGAGCAGGTGCTCCGAGCTGGCTGCAGGACACCAAGTTCAGAGTCCAGATGCCACTGTCGACTAAGTCCAGGTCCATTAGGGTAGCTGAGATCTTGTTCAGCAGAGCAGGGAGGAATTCATAATTGAAGCGTGTCCTGCGAACACCATTCAGCTTGAGGGACCTTAGGTGCCTGGTGCAGGGACACAAAGACAGGTACGTCAAGTCATGATCCATATGCCTACAATGACATTCTGAGGGTCTTCAGTGGGGTCTGCAAGCAGCTGCGCAGCTGGTGGAGGTGGCTCTCGAGGAAGGTGGCAGAGTGCAGGATGAGGTGTTGGAGCCGATTCAGACTGAGGAGCTGAGAGGTGAATTGTTGAAGTAGCGTCTGCACCTCATCCTCATCTTCCTCCCCGGGGACTCTGCAATACAGAATGCATTCGAGAGAAAGTGTGTGCAGGTGCACCATCGGTCCAGGTAAGCAGCAAACCAGTTGAGGCTTTGCAGGTCCCAACTTCCGTCTCCTGGACAGAGTCCAGTTGCACTATTTTCAGAATCTCCCCAAGAATGAGAAGTCATGGTACATCCCCAACAACAAACTCCACCTTCCTACAGCACTGGTGTGGCAGAGCCTTTCTCTGCTTGACCCTTTCAGTGAAGAGGAGGAGGAATCCCTCTGGGGCTTCTTCCTGAAAGCACAGGTCTGTGAGCAACTTTGCAGGGGCCAAGCTGGATGCTTCCCCACTGACATGGATTTGTCCCCTTTAAGGGTCTGAATCCTGGGCTGTGTGGCTTCTGGCTCTTCTGCTGAGGTTACAGAGGCACCAGACTGGGGTCCCGTCCACATGTCCCAGATGATGATGTCAGTATTCCGTGGCAAATCCTGCACTTTCAGGTGGCGTCTACTGCACTAAACATTTTGGGCTAGCAGGATGTCAAGACCATCAAGTACAGTCTGTGAGATGTCGGGGTGAGACTGGTAATCTTCCACCAGAGCACTCATGGGGAGTTGGAGAAAGGACCATAACCCAACCATGGACTTCACTGCCTCTCCGTGTTCCCCAACAACTGCTGTCATGAACGAGAGGGAAGAGATCTGAGCGGCGATGGCTCAGATCTGAGGCCTCATTCTGCAATGCACTCTGGACGGCAGGGTCCAGGAGCCTGGGACGGTGCCTGCGAAAGGGATCCTGACTGTGGTAGAGACTGGCAAGGGCCACAGGGGGCTTAGATCTCAAACTGGATCCTTCTTCTGACTCAAGTTGGTCCAGAGGCTGTTGAATACAGGATGGACAGATCCAATGGCGGGCAGCGACCTGGGCAGCCTGGGTCTGGGTACAGCGTATAGGAACCGGGCAGGAATTGCCAGTCCACAGAAACAGCTTGCCCGGTGAACGCTCTTCACTGTAATCAAGTCTTTATCTTTGTTATGATGACAGGGGGCTCGTATTGGTTCATGTCACTCAGCATGATGGTCTCTCGGTCCAGGAGGTACTTGTGTGGTTTTGTCGTTATTTTATAGTGATGTATAGCATTCCGTTTTGTGTTTCTTTATCCATTCATTCTTCTACTGATGGGAATTTAGGCTGTTTTTATCTTCTTGCTATTATTTTCAACATTTTAAATGCCATTGCTTTGGAAAGCCTTCATGTTGTACTGAGGACACGAGAGTCATGTGTGTATACCATTTCCAAGCAAGGACCTTTCACATGGTAGGTAGACAACCGCCGCCCCTGCCCCCCCCAGCCCCCGCCCCCAATGTAAATGATGCATCTAGTTCATTCAGTCATTCATAGTTGTTGAATACATACAGACATTCTTGAGGTCCATTACTGAGCAAAACAAGGGTGGGGCTTATATAAGTCCAGAGATGGGAGCTGGATAGTAATTCCAGGCTTAATAAGCAAATCAGAGTGTGGTAAAAGGCGAGGTGTGTTATGACATCATAATAGAACAAATTAAGGGTATGCTGTGTTGGGGATGTGGGAGTCCTGGTGGTGTCGTGGTTATGCTTTGGGCTGTGATCGAAAGGTGAGCAGTTCAAAACTATCAGCTGCTTCTTGGGGAAAAGGTGGGGCTTTCCACTCTGGTAAAGACTCTGGGAAACTCACAAGGGCAGTTCTGTCCTGACCTATCGGGTCACTTTGGTTTGCTCTGAGCTGGCATCAACTCAGCATTGAGCTTGAGTCTTTTGGTTTGGTAGTGGAGATGAAAACGGAGAGGGTTGCAAAGAGGGTCAGAAGGGTAAACCTGATTGGACGGCACCAGATAAACACTGTCAGATTCCACTTTTGTGAGCCCCATTTTTCATGTCCCCATGCCAGCACCCACCTTCTGGTGATTCAGTGGTGGAATTATGGAAATATGGAGAAGTGTACTACAGCACCATAGAAAAATCTTTCTCCATCAAAGATGCCTTCTCGTACGTACCCCGTCTTTTTGGCGTGCACATAAACCAAGCAGAAGGAGATGCAAGACGTCTCTTTAGTGCACTTCTCTCACTGGTGGCCCTGCTGCAGTTTCTTTATGCGATGTGAGGCCTCAGGAGAGAGGTCGACATTTAAGGCGATCAAACAAAGATTTTTCCATTCCTTTTTGTCCCTTTCTTCAACACTGCTATCTCTTTTCTTTCTCTCCAGCGTTTGACACTTCTCATAAGAACAGAAATGTTTCTGTTTGGTTTCTGGGCCCTGCTGGCCTTGATCCTGTACTCAGGTAAGTAAGGCTATTTGGGAATTTTTTTTTTCCAGCCAATATATACTGAGGCAAAGGTCAGTGAGGGTGGGGATGGGCATTTCTGAGTTGGGAGAACACTTAATCATTTATCTGGCTCCTTGGGAAAGATATTGACTTCTTGGATCTCTAGGACACTTATTTCTTCAGGCATCTCTGGCTTATAATTTGGATAACCCCAATTCAGGGGCTGGATAGGAATTGGAAATGCTCAGAACCCTCTTAAGGAGTTTGACTGTCTCTGCTTGGCTCCTGCTGCCCCAGAACAGGCCTGTATTTTTTCTACTGAAGATATTTTTACTTCTTTGATGCTTGTCATGACAGGCTACATTAGGCATGAATAAAACAGGGTGTATATAGTTCACAGTGAGGAATAGATGCTCCTGATGGCAGGAGAGGAACTGGAGCCCCGGTGGGACCATTGCTCCCAGAGGTGTGTGTTCCCAGAGGAGACTGGTGTTCAGGAGAGGAAGTGGAGGGTGGGGGTGGAGTCGCTCCAGAGAACCTGCAGTCAAGCCTTCAGGAGAATGTGCACCTCACCGACATCAGTCAACTCCACTTGACCTGATAGCACTTTCACGGAATCTAAGTCGATTTCTCGAACAGACTAAATTTGTTTTTAAAAAACGTTTTATTGTGAATTAAATGCGAGTTTACATTTCTGATCGTCATTTTTGCATTCAGCAAGCCAAACAATCTACCAACCCTCCCCATGGCTTGTCTGCCCCACTGGCTTTTGTCCCTTCCAGACTAAACTCTTAAGCATCTGAAAATATTTGCTGCCTTAGTACCAGAGCAAAAATGGAGCAGTCTCCATCTAAAAAGAAGAGGTAGAAAGTTTCTTGGGGAAGGGATGTCCTTGGGAGTCATCTTTAGGTCAGTGATTCTCAGAATTTAGTGTTCATCCATTTTACCACGGATGCTTGTTTTGTTCACCTGCATGTTTCCAGGTTCCACCTTCAGAAGTTCATCCTCATTCAGTGTGAAGCGAACTGGGAATCTGTAGTTTTACAAGCCTTCCAAGTGATGGAGGGCAGTAAACTCTTATACCACGATTTGAGAGAAACACTTCTTTGAGGTCTAAGTAACGTAGCTGTTCTGCTCAGGGATTTACTGTATCTGGGCCCCCCCGACCAGCCCTTCTTAGGGGCCTTCCAAGAATTCTGGAAATTTAGGAAGAGAATAGCCTCCTGGATGTCATTCTCAATGACTCCATTGTTTCCACTAATGGAGACTTAAGAGCCCCAAGAAAGAAGATCAGTTTAGGGAATGGTGGCAGAACCAGGGCTCTAACCTGTTAAGAGGTGTCCCTTTTTCTGATTTTAGGGCAGGCTCCCTGCTCTCTCACTTATCACTACCCAGAATAAGTTCTGTATCGTATGTGGGTCTCCTGGACCTCACCAGAGGGTTTGAGATATGTGGTTGATCATTTCAGGGGTCACTGAAGAGCTGTTTGAGGTCTCTGTTTGGCCAGACCAGGCCCTGGTGGAGTTTGGACGGTCCCTTGTGGTCAACTGTAGCACCAGCTGTCCAGATCCAGGACCCAGCGGGATTGAGACCATCTTAAAGAAAACCCAGTTGGGCAGAGGGCCTCAGTGGAAGGAGTTTCTCCTGGAGAATATCACAGAGAACTCCACCCTGCAGTGCTTCTTCTCCTGCGCAGGAATCCAAAGGGCCAGGAGCCTGGGCATCTCCGTGTATCGTGAGTGGGGCTGGGGAGGGGGAGAATATGAGTATGCATACGGGGGAGGATGAGATGGGGTTCTTTTAGGGGAGATGATTCAACCATTCATTTCTTTTATACTGTAGAATTTCTAGAATCAATTACTTCTGTTTCCCTTTGGTGAAGGCATGTGTCTGGGTTTAAATAAGGAGTACACCATAGAGGGGATTCAGATGTCTTTGAGGCTATATCCAAATATAGGAGGCATATGCTGATAATGCTCCATTCTAAATTATCAAAAAATAGTCCCCAAATGAATGCTCCATTCTAAATTATCAAAAAATAATTCAAAAATGTGTGTAGAATGATTTGCTACACATTCTTAGACTGCCAACAGATTGGAGACCAGGAGGGTCTTGTGGGCTCACATACAGAGAAGGCTCCATGAACAAGGAGCAGCCTTTCACATTGCAGAATGGCTATGGTTGGAGTTGATAGACGTGGGTGATGAGGGTCTTTCAAGTGGGCCTAAAGCATTGGCAAAGATAGGCTCATGAGAATTAATGTGGTCTCTGGGAGTTGAAGCTTGGTTGGCCAGGGTGTAGCCAATGCTAGGGCTCTGTGGTCACATTTCTGGACTCTGGATTTAGCCACCTTGATGTACAAAAGATAAACATGTCCTATTTAGGACGGGGTGACAGAAAGTGGAAATTGTTGGTCAGATGAGTGAAGGCAGAGTTTTGAACCAGCTCAAACTGGTTCAGTCATGGTCACTGAAAGGAATTGGAACAAATCCCAATTTTTAAAATTTGGATGAAATGGAATGACCATCAGAACGGAAACATTTATGAGCCAAAGCACTGAAATGGGAGACTCAAAAGAGGCAGGGAGCCTTCTCAAGAGCCTGATGTGAGAGACTGGATTATTGCCAGTACTGTGGAAAGCATATACATTTCAGATTCCCTGGTTGGCTGCCATCTCTGAGTGGGGCATCGTTGTATCTGACTGTTGGTGAAATGGTTTGGTTGCTGTTTTCTAAGGAGGAAATTCAGTATTTAGCAGCCTGTTGGCCTATCATTTTTCCCAGTCTAGTGATTGTTCCACTTCACCCTCAGTTTACGAATTTGGGTCCGTTGGGGTTCACTTTGTCAGCTATGGCTGGACTGGGAAGAATTAACTTGGACCTCCTAGTTTAAGGCGAGGACTCCCCTTCTTTTACGAACTGCCTGTACTACTGCATTTCTTCCTGCCCTTTCTCATCAAATCGCACTTATTTGTCTTCAAGAGCCACCGGCCCTTGTGTCCCTGGAGCTGCAGCCCGAGTGGGTGGCTGTGGATGAAGACGTTACAGTGAAGTGCCATGTGCCCAGTGTCACACCTCTGGAGGAGCTCACCCTGACGCTGCTCCAGGGCAACCAGGAGCTGTATCAGAAGCACTTCAGCAGCTTGACCACGGCCGCCCCCAAAGCGGAAGTCACCGTCACTTTCAGAGCTCACAGGGAGGATGACAGGTGTCATTTCTCCTGCCATGCCCAGCTGAACTTGAGTTCACAAGGGGGAGGGCTCTTTCACACCAGCTCCGCCGTCAGCGTGCTCCGCATCTTTGGTGAGTCCGATCCCTTCCCATCGTGGAAGGGCTCCCGAGGGTCATTTTTCTCCCCTGCCCTTGGCCTTTGGGACTGAGGTCCGGCTTGGTTTGGGGTGAAGGTGTGAAGGTACTTGAACTCCACCTCAGCCTGGGTGGGAGGGGCCTTCTAGTTGCCCTCCTTTCCTGCATCACGTTTCCTGCCACGTCTTCCATGGTACCTGGCTTACCATGACTTCTCTCCCTCTTCATTTCTTGGCAGAATTCTCTCAGAACCCCCAGATCTGGGTCTTTCCACTACTGGAGGTTGGGGTGGCAGAGAGTGTGAGCTGCGAGGTGGATAAAGTGTTTCCAGCCAAAGCGGTAACGTTCTCCGTATTCCTGGGAGACCAGGAGCTGAGTCCCTTCCTCTCCTGGGAGGGAGACACAGCGTGGGCCAATGCCACCGTCCGGGCCATGGAGACTGGTGATCAGGAGCTGTCCTGCCTTGTATATCTGGGTCCAAAGGAGCAGAAAACAAGCAAGCTGGTGTATGTCTACAGTAAGTGACCTGCTTCTTCCGTTCCCTGGGTACACTCCGTGCCGCGGAAAACTTCCACAGTACGGATTTGGGCATTCGACTATAGCTATCCTTGCTTACCTTTGCAAGGTAAGCAAAATTAAATTAGTCGTAATTTTTTTTCTGTGTGGAACAATTGGGCACGGGCATTGAACCAGTAGTTCTAGCCAGCCTTTACCTCCATTTTCTCAGGCCACCTACTTACAGACAGGTGCAGATGCTTGTGGTGAGCAGGGCCGGCGAGATGCAGACATCGTGTGTCCTCGCAGCAGAGGTCCAGCCACATGGGTACATGGCAGCGCTTGCTGCCAGAGAAGCTCTCCAACCCTCAGACCACCTCGTGGCTCCTGCTGCATAGGATTGGCAGAACCAGCCATGCACCAGCCTCTTTCCGCCCCATCTGCTGACCTAAGCAGCGGG